TAAATTAGCTACATTCAGGAATTGTTCATCTTCTAAACTTAAGATGATGTAGGCCAGTGCCTTATCGTGCTGCCTTTGAGCTGCTGCTGTTAATGGCCCCTGGGGTGATTTAACAACAATATCCCAGAGCTCCTCAACCTTCAGGAAGCATTTCATTTTTGCAGCCCAAATGATATAATTCTTCTGTCCCAATTGAGGCAGAGAGCTCTCCTTGAATTCAACAGCCATCCTGCAAGCCTTCTCTGCCTTGTTCTTTTTACTTTTTTAACACAGGCAGTCCTTCGGCTTAAGAAGGACTGCCAGAGAAGGTTTGTATATCCCATGTTTGGAAGAAAGAACCTGTTTTCCTCCTGGTGGACACAAAACTGAGAACTATAGCAACAGAACAGAAAATGCCTGATAACATCAATATGGAACCAGAGTGGAAATACCAATAGATGTGTGGTGAGTGCTAATAGAACCCTACAGCCACTAGAGCTGCTTTGGGAAGAGTTCTCCACACTACTGAAAATGATGCAACAATGGACTTGGTTACTCTCTTTTCTGCTGATCACTACAGATGTTGAACAGACAGATCACAATTTCAGCTACAACAAGATTTACATCGCTGCATTGCCATATAATTGATTGACTTTGCCTAGGACTGAGGCTGTATTAGTTTCATGAAACAGTGGGATGGTGGACATTTCGGTATTTGTATGTATGATTTCATTGCTTACGTGTATTTATTGTCAATGTTCCATGTATTTAAAATGGACCTATAGGTAAGCTACACCTTAGAGAAACCCCATCAAGTGAATCTCCAGGGAATACTTGCGGAAGACTGGGTGTCGCAGATTAGGAGGGTAGTAACTTATGGGATAATTGACCTTGTATTTAGTTTCTTTCTAGAAAAGGATTTCTTGCTCCATAGCACAGAGGAATAACATGGAATAGGGTCAATTAGACAGCCAATATTACACCAAGGTCACCTATTGACTTTGAAGGCTAATTTTTGTTTTATTCAAATGCCCTCAAACCTTGTTGTAAGTTTGGGCACATTTCTGCCTATGGTGGGCATCCTTTTTTGCTGGGAGTTTTTTTTCTAGATGCATCTTATTTGACTCAGGAAGATCTATACTTCTGTGTGTATCGCAAGTCCCCCCACATAATGATCATTTTTGTTGGACATGCATATTGACATTGGACTTTTAACATCTCTGCTGCATTAAAAAAAAACCAAACAGAACAGCTCCGAAGGATGGTTAATTTTGGACGTTTGGGCCTGCTGCTTATACAGTGCTACCTCATACATAGTACTTGCCTAGTTTGAGGTTGTTCAATTGCCATTGCCCTTCTCCAGGGGTGAAATCTAAAAATTTTCGCTACCTGTTCTGTGGGCGTGGCTTAATTAGTGGGCGTGGCTTGGTGGTAAGGTGACTGGGTGGGTGTGGCTTGTTGGTCAGGTGGGCGTGGCTAGGTCGATATCACTTCTTTGCCCTTTTTTAACCTACAAAACACAACACAACACAACTGGCTTACTCACAATGTAAAAGCAGCTGTGCTAGACCCAAAATAGCTCCTGGAACAAGCAGGAACCTCTCACAGCCACAAAAAGCCCAAAAAACCAACTTTCACACTTTACACACACACAACACAACACAATTCAACTGGCTCACACAATGTAAAAGCAGCTGTGCTAGACCCAAAATGGCCCACCAGGCTCAAGGTTGACTCAGCCTTCCATCCTTTCTAAGGTAGGTAAAATGAGGACCTGGTTTGTGGGGGCAGTAAGCTGACTTTGTATAAAATATACAGAAGTATGAAGGCTGCCCTGAGTCTCTGGAGAAGGGCGGCATATAAATAAAAAAATAAAAAATAAAATTAGTGGGCGTAAGGAATGTAGTGGATTTCACTTTTCATGATGTCATGTAACAGGGAGTAAGAATGTGAAGTTCCTGATAAGACCGGGGTAATATGTACCATACACATGGATTCAGAACAAACAATCTGGGTATGAACCCAGACCCCCAAAGACTGAGATGACTCTTGTGGATCAGGGGATACCCTGAATCTGCTTCCCAGCCCACTCTAATACTGCCTAATCACCTGTATTAAGACTGTATGTGAGTATTGTGTGAATGTGTAGCCTAGTTGGGCACGAATGCATACAACAACTTGAGTAGCCTTGTTGGGCATAGTTATTTGAGTAGCCTTGTTGGGCATAGCTTATTATAGTAAGATAACTTTGAAATTAGACAAGTATGTTTACAAGTATAAAGAAACTAATTAAATTTAGTTGCACATTTACTTTACTTTTTGTCCGAATAACACAAGAATAAAAGAACTCTATTTTGAATGACTCAAGGTTCAGGTGAGGACAGGTAGGCATATGCTTAAAGAAGATTTACTGGAATGTCCTCAGATCAGGAGAGCCTCAGAGCTTTGAAACAACTCCATTCCACTTTTCTTCTCTCATTTCCGTCTTGTGTTGTGTCTGTATTTAGTTAGTTTCCTTTTTGGCCAATTGGCCCAGGAATCATTAATTCAATACAAAACTTCCTAATCTCAGTTTTAAATGTCTCATCAATAATCAATCCAGTCAATCCAAACAATTTAAATTCACCAGAGGGTTATCTCTTCAAGTCATTTTTATATATTCAATAGTATTCAGGGGTCTCTTAGCTGAAATTCTTATTTAATATTCAAATCTCTAGTGGTCTTAGGGTAGCTACTTATCCAGCAAATAGTTTTTGTCTCTTTAAATAGTTAGACGGTTCCCTTTTCATCAGCAGATGGAGGTCTCGCTTCAGTCTGCTCAGCCTCTCTGCAATGTTATTAATAAGTACGATTTAATTATTTTAAATTGTAAGTCCGGGAATTGAGCAATGGTAGAAAAATAAAATTTGGGATTGTAATTCCAGCGTTTTAAAATGCCTCTTCAATGCCACATCTTTAATTTTGAGAATCCAAGCTTCTATTCATTTTTAAAAGTAATTTTTCCTCTTAAATCCTTTGGCATTTTTCCAAGTGCCTGGCATACTGCTTCAGCATATTCTGAATATACTTAGATTTCTTGGGGTCCAATTTCAACAAAAAATATTTTCTCACCGAGTTCACACACCATTCACTTCCTCTGCTCCTGCACTGTCTTAGTCTAGGCTGCAGATGCTCACAATCCTTATTTTCTAAACTTTCATTTTTTTCCACTCTATCCTTTATCAGTTTAATATCTTGAGTTAAGTATTGTATCTCCTCATGGAGTTCCTTTGAAAGTCTGTCAAGTTTTAGCAATAGCACTTATATACCGCTTCATAGTGCTTTTCAACCCTCTCTAAGTGGTTTACAGAGTCAGCATTTTGTCCACAACAATCTGGATCCTCAATTTACTGACCTTGGAAGAATGGGAGGCTGAGTCAACCTTGAACCCCTTCAGGATTGAACTCCTGGCTGTGGGAAGAGTTAACCTGCAATACTGCATTCTAACCACTGTGCCACCATGGCTCAGTGATTAGAATGCATTTCAAGCTTTGTTCTCATTACCTGAATTACTTAATGTTTTTTTCTGTATATTTATCCAAAACAGCTCTTAAAGATTCAGCTTTATCTGATAATCTTCTTTCAGTTGTATCAATTCACTTACGTGTAACCATTGTCCAAAAACATAACTAGAATTTAAAAATTAAAAGTTTAGCTTATTGTAATGAGATAACTTTAAAATTAGACAAGTATGTGTACAAGTATAAAGAAACTAATTAAGTTTAGTTGCACACTTACTTTGCTTTTTGTCTGAATAACACAAAAATAAAAGAACTATTGGAAAACTCTCTTTTGAATGACTCAAGATTCAAGTGAGGACAGGTAGACACATGCTTAAAGAATATTTAAGACCCAAAATGGGCCACGTGTAGACTCCTGGGAGGGGCGGGGCGAGCGGGGTCAGCCAGTCCTTGGAACAACCGGTTCAGCGAACTAAATTAAAATTAACATCTGGTTCACCTGAACCGGTCTGAATGGGCTGAATCCCACCCCTGCATGTAACCATTGTCCAAAAACATAACTGAAATTTAAAAATTAAAAGTCTATAACATTAATTCCACATGATCTAGTAAATATAACTACATTGCTGACAAGTTAAAAGATTTCAGTCCTTGGCTTCCTCGTGTGGTGAAACAACACTTCCAAATACAAGTTGCACGTTAATATTCTCCTTTATTTGTTTCAAGTAGGAACGAAAGAGGCTTCAAGGAAATCTTTAGAGGTAGAAATTGATAAGCATAAGTCATAAAACATCTTTTTCAAAATTCCTTTTATATTTATGTTTTATAAAAATGTTCAAAAAGTTCACAAAATAGAGTTTTATGTGCTACTTATTTCAATAGTAACGACAGAAATTACTAATATCTCCTAGTTCTCATACCATCCAAAATCTATTATCTATCTTAGCTCTAATACTAATATCTACTATCTAATATCTCTAGTTCTCATACTAAAATCTATTATCTAATATATCCTAGTTCTAATACTATTTGATACCTACTATCTACTGTAATATATCCTAGTTCTAATACTAATACCTACTATCTAATATTGCTTAGTTCTAATAGTAACTCATATCTACTATCCAATATCGCCTAATTTTAATAGTAATATTTCCAACCTAACATCATTTAGTTCTAATACTAACATTAACTATCTAACATCGCTTAATTCTAAACGATCTAATATCTACGATCAAATATATCCTACTTCTAACACTAATATCTACTATCTAATACCTAGTCCTAATACTATCTGATATCTATTAGTTCTATGAGCGTGACTGGAATCAAATAATGCAAGCCATCATTTGGTATTTAAAATGCAGTTTGGACCAAACAGTTTTTCCAAACGAAGCCTTTTTCCCCCAGGTGGTATCTTGTGACTGTTTTCTTCACCGGGAGTTAAAGAAGTGTCTTTTTGTCTTTCCTTTGGAAATCTGGCAAATGAGGGCTCATAATTGGTGACAGAATCTCCTATAAAGTCGGTTATTTCATCCTGTTGCCTGTTCCTTGGTCTTCTGCTGCATGTTATTTTGGGGTTGATTAAGGGACCTGTTGAAGGATAACCCTGATGTAAATTTTCTCACATATTCCTCACTTAGCCAACAGTTGCATTGCATTCAGAGTTACGATATTCGTCCCAAAGTATTTATAACCCAGTTCCAGAGTTGTGATGCTGTCCCGTCCCCCCCACTGTCACATGACTATTTGGCGAATTGCTGTGTTTTGTTGCTTGTAACTAGCCTTTTAAGTCAGTTTCTGGCAAAAATGGCCATAAAATTCATTGCCTTGCTTAACAACCACAATGTTTCCTTAAAGATCTTTTTAATCTTAATAATCATTTGCTTTACAATTGAGACATTCGTTTAATAAACAGCACAAAAAAAGTTTTAAAATCAGGTTGATCATGTGGGTGCCTTGATTTACTACCATCATAATTACGATGAAAATTCTGAGCTCCATTACTGTCAGCCTCCAACTTTCTGCAACGCCAAATTACACTCATAATTTGAGGATTGTGTATATTGGATAGGAACAGCATGATAGGAAGATGTTAGATAATCCCTTCAGTGGCAAATGCAAGGGGATTATTTCATACTGCACGGGACAAGGCAATAAACCACTCCTGTATTTCATTCATAAATTCAGAGTTGAAGGAAAGGGTTAGAAATACACTCTCTTCAATAATTCAACTCTTCTCCCCTTATCTCTCCCATCTAGAGAGAAGGATGAAAATGATTCTGTTTAATCAGCACTAATGACTACTAATTAAAGAGTTCACAAAATGTAGTATTGCCATTTTTAAAAGAGAAAATAGAGCAAGGATTTGAAATATTTTTTGACGTCAAAGAATTATATTTTTATTATTATAATATGAAACAAATTCTGTTCTACCTTTTGGAAATGAACATGAATCGGCTTTCTCTGGCTGACCTTTGTGCATCCGGTGTGCATAAATATTTGTAATGTTTAGTTCTCGTTCTATTTCCTAAAGAAATGCATTATTAAATTTAGGTTGATAATATAGTTTATTGTATTAATGTATGTTCTTCAGAGATCCCATGTTTCACGGTGTAACTCTCTCCAGTATCTCTTTTTATTTATCTGTATTTTAAATATTTGCTTAGGCATCATTTGGCCAAGGCTTCCTTTTTTAAAGATTCTGAAGGATAAATATCATTTTTTTCTGGAACTGTGAAAGTTTTGACCAGTTTCTCCCCCCGCCCTTAATTTTCTATCAATACAGGCCTTGAGTAACATGTTTAAAATGCATGTTATTTTCATGTTAGGAGACACTTTTCAAGTACTATCTGTTTCTAGAAATGTTAGTGTGCAAAAGGCCTAACATACATTAATACATTTATCCAATCTACAGTTTATATAGTTAGAGGCTGAAAGAAAAACCCACAGAAAAAAATAGGCTTATGTCAAATCAGCATTTAGTGAATAGCATCTTGGATTCCTTCTATGGTAAGAAAAATACAATTTAAGCATCTAAATACCTTAAGTTTTAGCTTCAGTGACTCGATTTCTACATGTAAATTTGCTGTCATCGACTGAGCTTCAATAGTCTTCTTTTTCTCAACTGCTAACTGGTGTCTAAAAGAAGCAGTATTCAATGACAGCTGCTTTTCCAAATCCTAAACACATTAGAAATAAACCATCAATACGATTATTCAAGATTTGCAATCATATAATATTGAATTAGAAATTAGAGGAAGGCAACTGACATTTTATCAAATGTTTCCAGAAAGATGAAAATTCTTAATCTCAGTTATAATACCCACAATTTTTGAAATGGAATCAACCCACAATGTATATGTATATGTGTATGTGTATGTGTATATGTATATGTACATGTATATGTATATATATGTATGTATATATATATATATAAATATATACACAAACCCACACCAATGAGGCACGACCACAAACCAGAAGCCAGACCACAGCTGCATCATTAGCCACTTTAAACCCCTCCAATCCATACATGAAGCAAACTGACATCCACCATGAAGATGTGGCACGACCACGAACACAAAGCCAAACAACAGCAATGCAGCTCACCAGCTTAAATCCCCCTGCAACTCAGACTAACCCGAGCCCAACCAAGCCCCCACCTAAACAGAACACACCTCCATCCAATCAGAGCACAGCCAACCCCCCATTCAATCAGAGCACAGCCAACCCCCCATCCAATCAGAGCACAGCCAGACCCCCAATCAATCAGAACACACCTCCACCCAATCAGAACACAGCCAAGCTCCCTCCCAATCAGTTCACACCCCCACTGGCAGTTAAAAGGAAGAAACAGCTGCGATCACACATTGCTTCTAGAAGCACAAAGCTGAAAACACCAGCCTGAAGATGACGAATGAGACTTCGTCGAAACGTCGCCAAGACACTTCCAATTTTACGCTGGAGAAAACCCGAATAACCAAAGACCTACATACAAACACCTGCGAAAACCTCAGAAAATATATATATATCTTATATTGGACAGACAAATAGATGAATAAGTGTGCGTTTAGAAGAACATAAAAATGCAGTGAGGAAAGAAGAGCAAACTTCTTCTTTGGTACAACACATGAAAGCCACGGGACACAATATTGATTTTAATAAAACCAGAACAGTGGCGAAAGAGGAACATCTCTACAAAAGAATAATCAGGGAGGCCATCGAAATTGAAAAGAGGCCGCAGAATATGAACAGAGACGACATCTCTAGGTTATCAAGTATTTGGGGACCTGCACTGAGAGAAACTCGAGTGTTAACATCAGAAGAGAGGCAGAGATTCCAACAAGCAACCAGTCGTGTTGCAAGGCCTGCCAGAATTCTTCCCACTCTGCAGAGGGTGGCTAGCAATAAGAAGAGAGAGAGGATCGAGCCAGAAGACAGGCTGAGATCTCAACTAACAATCAAGGGTGCTGTGATGCCTACCAGAATCCTTTCCCCTCTACAGCAGACAGATAATAATAGAGAATCTGAGAAAGCTGGGCCTGTAACACAAAGCCAAGCAGCTAGGATGAGGAAGCAGGAAGAAAAACTGTTGTCCTCCAATCGGGACACAGAGTTGCAGGCTAGCCAGCATACATCAGCAGCAGCAAATATAGATAAGCGACAGCTCCAACCTCGCAACAGAGACCCCATAGCTTCTAAATGAAACAGAGCCTGAAGATGACAGGGTAGTGAGCCTGTCGAAACGTTGCTTTAAGAAAAACTTTTAAAGTCACTGGTAGGATTTTAGCTGAGGTTTTAAAGGACCTTGCAGAGTGCTCTGTAAGGATTTTTAGAAGATTTTAAGTTGGGATTTTAACCAGGATTTTAAATATTTTAACCAACTTATTTACAATGACACGGGAAAACACCCGAGATTTTAATTTTTTGCATTCACACACACACACACACACACACACACACACACACAAATAAGGTCATATGATGCTCACAATCTGTTATGCAGATTAAGGAGAAAAGAAATAGAGATCCAGTTACAATATATACTTTTAATTTCTTTTTATTGGTGGAAGAAATACCCTTCTCCAATCCTTAAATCAAGGTCAGCATGGTCAAGAAATAGAATAAAAGAACATTAGATTTTATATATCATAACACTTAGCAAAAGAGTATTATTTATTTAATATACCAACATTACAAACTATACTGTAAGGGAGGGGGAGGTGGTGGAGGAGGAGGAGACAAGACTAACATTTTGTTCATTTCAATTATAATAAAACCATAATATGCTTCATTTTTGCCTTGGTATGATGCCAAGTAATGTAGGTTTAGTTAATATTCAGGTTTAAATGTGCTGGCTAGGCTCATGTTATCAGAGATGGACTTTTTCATCTGATTAGATATAGCAAAAGTCATTCTTTCCAAAATCTCAATTTTCTATACAACTGAGCCGAATATGCAAAAATGGAAGGAAGTGTGATGAGCAAGAAGTTTTGCACAACATCCACTCAAAACATCCAGGTAATGTTTTTCAACATTCATCTCTGATCGTGTGGTGAAAATAAGATTCATAAGTAATTAGCTTAGCTAGCTTGCCCATACCACTTTTAATACATAATTCCACCTGTCTAACTATAATCTTCTCCTGGTTTTCCTACATTCCTCTTTTCCAATAATGTCTTTTTTATATCTAGAGATTTTAATTTCATTGATTGATAAGAAAAAATATCACTAAAACTTTCCTCATTGCATAGTTGTGCAGCTTCTCTTTGTGTTTCAGAACTGATACAAGATTTGTAAAAAGATGGCATTATACAAAAAGGTCCTACTGGATCTGTTTTCCTAGAGCTGAGCTGAAGGAAGAAGTCATTGGTAAAAAGTCATACAGTTCCCAGCTGGATAAGCTAGAGACTGTGTCAGTAAAGTAAACCTAGACTGGTCATCATAAAGACTGCGAAAAGTATTCTACCAATGATATATGAAATTATTATCTCTTCCAGTAAATAACAAACTCCCACAGAACTGAGGTGTGATTTCTGAGTAACAATTTAAGAATCTGAATAGGAATGGATTTCCTTGCAAAATAGAACTTTGAGGAAGCTATTCTTGTTTCTAAATTTTGGATGCGTTCCTGCTTGAGCAGGTTTTCTGTTAATTTCAATATCAAGTGAATCTTGGTGACCTCAGGATGGTGCCTGTAGAAAATGGTCCCTATTGCATGCTGAAGCAAGTCAGCTTAAAGCATTTCTTTATAGCGGTTTAGGACATTTAGGCACGAACACTTGGCTACACATACTTTGCCCCAGCCATCTGCCTCAACCCATTTACAGCCAGCTTTCCTCTTCTGCTGGCCCTCACCTGGTCATTCTCCAGAACCAATGGGCCAATGGCCCTCACCACTTGCCCTATGTCCCTGCCCATTTGCCCAAACATCATTTGACATCATTTGGGCAGCCTTTGGCTTCACGGGACAAATAGCCCCCAACCAATCGGGTGTCAGGCAGAAGCAATGGTATTGCAGAGGCAGTGTGTGATACAAGATTTTTTTTATAAAAAGTACTGTGGCTGCTCCACAAGTTTTGGGGTCTTGCAGATCTGTCACCAGGACCAGAGGGAGGGGGGAGTAGCATCCTCCGGGGCCGCTGGGTAACAGTCAGGGGTGAGTGTGGTTCGGGGCCAGGAAAGGGTGCCTCAAGGGGGCTTCCCAAAGATAGCTTGGCTCGCAACTCAATCAGCTCCAATGAAAAAGGAATGGAAGAGCAAGACTGGTGCAGCTTCTGGTATTGTGGAGGAGGGCTAGGAGGTTGCACAGATGAGTGGCAGGGCTGGAGCTGCTTCTGGTGTTTCTTGTGAGCTGGGAGTGTCACACAGATGAATGGCAAGGCTGGCACGGTTTCTGCCATTGCAGGAGGGCTGGGGGGAGCACAGCAGTGAACAGGTGGCCCGTGGGTTGGGGATCACCACCATTGCCACTCCAGCCTGCAATTGCAGGACCAGGGGCCTGGTGGCTCAGTAGACTGATAGCATTGTGATTAACACCAGGTGTCTGCAATTACTGTAAGTTCAAATCTCACCAGGCTCAAGGTTGACTCAGCCTTCCATCCTTTCTAAGGTAGGTAAATTGAGGACCCAGTTTCTGGGGGCAATAAGCTGACTTTGTATAAATAAACAAAAGTATGAAGGCTATTGCTTAACGCATTGTAAGCTGCCCTGAGTCTTCAGAGAAGGGCGGCTTATAAATCATTTTTTTTTTAAAAAGGGGGGGGGCTGGGGTGGTCACGCAGAAAAGCAGCAAGGTCAGCACGCTTGGGGCAGCTGAACCTCCTGTTAGGTGTCATGCCAGTGTGGCAAGGCCGGGGCTCCTGCAAGCCATACACTACCTCCGTTCGCCTTTCTCACTTCCCCACAACCCTGCAATGGCAGAAACCGTGCCAGCCTTGCCCTTCACCTGAGCAACCTGCCCAGCACTACCGCAATGCTGGAATCTGTGCTGGCCTTCTTGTCCTCCTTTCTTTTGCTGGAGCTGACTGAGTTGTGAGCCAAACTGTCTTTGTGAAGCCCCCTTGAGGTACCCCTTGCTCCAGTCCTGGTGCCCCAAACACACTCTTGCCTGTCTGTCCCCCAGTGGCCAAGGCGCCTGCTATTTACCCTCCGGTCTTGGTGACATATCTGCAATGGCCGGGGGAGGGCCAGAGGTGGAGAAATGGCTGTAAATGGGCTGAGGCAGGTGGCTGGAGGTAAAGGAGGCGCGGCCAAGGGTTAGTACCTAAATATCCCATTCTGCTCACAGAGCGATGCTATGTAGTTCTAAGCAATGTATGTTGCATGTTACCTGAGTTTTCTTATCCCTAGCTTCCAATTTTTGGGTAAGCGATGTTAATTTACGCTGAAGTTCTTCTCTCTCTTCAAGTTTCTTGTTTTTACAAAGTTTCTGTAATGCCCGCAAGGCATCCCTTGTTTTTGAGAGTTGTGCCTCAACATCTCTCAGCTTCTGGGAAGCCCTGCGCTCTTCTTCCTGAGATTTCCTGAGATGTGTTCTCAGAGTCTGCACTTCATTTGACTGTGTGGCCAAAAGATCAGGCAGGTTAATTTCGGCATTTTCATATTTTGTGATTGTTTTTAAATGTTGAGACTGAAGATGCTTCAACATTTTATTTTCCGTAATAAAGGTCTCCAATTTATTCTGCAGAACAGCCACTTCGTTTTTCAGTTCTTTAATTTGATGGTCTCTTGCTGACAATAGACGGCAAGTCATGTTATTTTTCTCCTGGGCATTGATGGTATGGTCAGTAATAAATGAGCTCTTTTGCTGAGGTTTCTTTTTAGGCAACATTTTCCCTCCTGCATTAAAAGAAATATCAAGATGGCATATAAGATTGAGTAAAGTAAGAATCACATAATTTTACATAAGCTTCAGAGCTAAATGCTCAAGTATGTATTCACGGCATAGATTCACTTCCTGTTATGTAATATCTTGAGTCAATCTCTGATACAACTATTGGTTGATTGACCTATTGTGAAAAATCATACCAAAACGGTCATGATATTAGCTTTCATAAGACATAACTGGTATACTCACATAATATGCTAAGACAGTATTTAGACAGCTTTAAGATGCATTGACTTGAACTCCTAGAATTCTTCAGCTAGTCTTGCCTAAAGCAGGATTGCTAGCCCAGCACCCTAACCACTACACAAAACTGCCTAGACAGTCAGATGGATAGACATACATACACACACCTAAACATACACACCATATCCCAATAATGATAAAATAGTGAAAGTAATCAACTCAAAAAGGATGAAAGAATGACCGCTCAAACTTGCCAAATCTTTTTTTACCTACAGGACCATACTTCCTGTCCCTTAGCTTATTTATTGAAACCATGTTACACTGACATCTGTATGACCATGATAACTGGTGAACTACATCCATCAACACAACTTCCCTTACATCGAGAGAGAAATTACTGACTGAGGGTGTTGAAAGTACATTAATATATTAATGGAGTAAGGTAAAGGTAAAGGTTCCCCTCGCACATACGTGTGAGTAGTTCTCAACTCTGGGGCGGTGCTCATCTCCATTTCAAAGCCAAAAAGAGCCAGCACTGTCCGAAGACGTCTCTGTGGTCATGTGGCCGGCATGACTAAACACCATAGGCGCATGGAATGCTGTTAGCTTCCCACCAAAGGTGGTCCCTATTTTTCTACTTGCATTTTTTACGTGTTTTCAAGCTGCTAGGTTGGCAAAAGCTGGGACAAGTAACGGGAGGTCACTCTGTTATGCGGCACTAGGGATTTGAAGTGCTGAACTGCCGACCTTTCGATCAACAAGCTCAGCGTCTTAACCACTGAGCCACCGCATCCCTAATTAATTAATCACTGAAGTACATACAGTTAAAATGAGCTTAATAACATTCATATGACTTCTAATAATATATTGTACTTTCTACAGTGTAGAAGTGTCAGGGTAGCTCAGCAAAAGTGGAGTTATGACACAACTGCTTGATTTTCAGCAAAGGCTTAGCTGCCATTAGTTTGGTTGAAATCTGCCAACCACAGCAAATGCAGTAGAGTTCAAGGTGACCAACTGCCTTATTACCTTTTGTATGGACATCATTTTTCTTTTTCTTTTCTGTTAAGTTCCTCTCTTTAGTTTCTGGTTTCTGGGGCGATGGGATGATGTAGCTGCCACTCTCTTCACTTATGGAGGTTTCAGAGGAATCTGAGTGAAAATCTTTGTAATAGTTCTGAGAAATTCCACAGTCGTTCTCTTCGGAACAAATGCTGTTCTTGCTGCCATTGACAGCTGTTCTTGAAGTGTTATCATGAAAGTCATTGGAATAGTTAAACCAAGCACTTCCAGACTGGCTGGAACTTTTGCCACACCTACTGTCTTGACTGTTGTTGGTGCTCTTAGTAAGCCTATCTGGAGAAAATAAGTATCATAAGTAATTATGCCCGTACCAATTTTAATACATAATTCCACCTGTCTAACTATAATCTCCTCCTCCTACATTCCTCTTTTCCAATAATGTCTTTTTTATATCTAGAGATTTTAATTTCATTGATTGATAAGAAAAATATCACTAAAACTTTCCTCATTGCATAGTTGTGCAGCTTCTCTTTGTGTTTCAGAACTGATACAAGATTTGTAAAAAGCTGGCATTATACAAAAAGGTCCTACTGTATCTGTTTTCCTAGGCATGAAGATCATCTCAGCTGCTCAGTGAAAGCAAGCTGGAAGCTACAAGACTCAGTGAATGTAAAATAAAAGCACACTTTACTGATTATAAAGTAGATCTATTTGTTCTTACATTCAAAAACATCCACACTTACTCAAGGTCCACAACTAGTCTGCCAGGCACTTAACAGAGGGACGGAAGCCGCCGTGTCTGGGATCCAAAAATGACTCCAAAGGCTTGGCAGGCTTCAGGACCCTTTTTTATCCCCCAGAGTGTTACTGAGGTAGGGCTTCCCATGCAGGCCCAACTCCTTTGTTGGTGAGACTTGGGGAGGGGCTTCCCATGGGCTCAGGGCCAACTTTTGTCCTTTTTTCCCCTTATCGACTTGCTTCCTTTTCCAGGCTTTTCTCTACAGTGCTTACATGCCTTCACTTTTAGTTCGGTGGCTTCGGCCTAGTCTCACATGTTCCTCACTTAAAAAACACTTGCTTTTTCTTCAGAATTATGATGCTCCTCCCAAAGTAATGACCCAGTTCCAGAGTGTGAAATATGAAGTATTGCTTCTAAAATAAAGTTTAATTGTAAAGAGAGTTAAGGAACTTCTTGAAAAATTAGTATTGATATTACAGTTAACAATATGGTTTAGAAAAGTCCAGAAAAGATAAGGGAGGGGGTGCTTTCTGAGCAGTAGCTAGGGAGACTCTGCCCTGCAACTAGGGTATGTTTGTTAATAAGCATTCCGGATAGGTTGTAAGCTTATTAGCATCCATCCAATGGGAAACCAGAACAGTGTTGAGGGCGGGCGGGGGGGGGGGGGGTTATAAAAACCTGTTGCATGATTTGATCTGGGTCCAATTCATATGCACCTGTATTTGCAAATATGTAATAAACGTTTGCTAATTTTTGATATCGGATTGCTTTTGTTGCTTTATTGCTTACCCTTCAAGGTGCTGCTGACCACTGAAACAGCTGTAAGAACTGCTGAAAATGTCTGGACTGAAGGAACTGGTTGAGGCTCCACAGGCAAAACAGTGGAAAGTGCAACCTTTAAGCGACCCGCTCTGAAAATAATAAAACAATAAAGTTTACTTTTGGGGTACAGGACATCTGATGAGGATAATCATGTTTGAACTTTGACCCAAAGGTGGATGATTTTGGGACATTAATATTCTGACCCTTTGCAGTGGAATTGAATGTCTAGTTGTGTTCTATGTGGTTTATGTGGTACAAGGAATAGGGAACAGTGATTATGATCATAAGCTCTTACTTGCTCAAATTTTCCACAAATCTGGCACAAATTTACTATTGGAATTCATGAAACTACCAAGCCTCAGGTAATCAAATTTATTAAATGTATTTAATAAATTTATTAAATGTATGCCATTTAATAAATTGTGGGGATTTGAGCAACCAAAGACAATATGCAAATAAGGAAAAATATTTGTGTGTAAATGCAGATTGTTCCCTTTGTGGGGATGTATGGTAGACAACAGAGACTAAAGGATGGACTTCTTATCCTAACTCAGGAATTGCAGGGCTTAAATCTGCATCACAGTGCGGGGAGAAAGCATGCAATATAATTAGCATAACCATAAAGAGTGTGACGCAAATAAATAATACCCTGTATAGTATAGGGCTCAATACAGCAAAAAGAGATTCTTTAGGATGTTGTTTCAGGATTATGATGGTTAAAGCAAAAGGAACTAGCAAAAACATAGAAGTAACATGCCTACGTTTAAACCTTTTGCTCCATCAATGATCCCAAAGCAGTGACTTTAGTAGAAATAGACAATTTGAGACAAATTTTTGAAATTGAGACTGGATATGGAAATACAAATGCCTGGGTAGAATAGGTAAAATATACTGTACAGAGTTTGAATAAAAGCAATTGTTATGCTTGTGCTCAAGGGAGACCAGAAGCCCATGTAGTCCCCTTCCTGCTGGGATGGACTAAAAACCCAAATAGCATGAGATGCATATTGGCTCTTTATCAACATAGAACGGCCTCAGGAAATGAAAATTATAAATCCCTTTCTCTTTTTCCACCAGTAAAAAGTCTAAATATTAAGAAACCACCTGCGTTCTCTGCAACCTATGGTAACCCCACTGCATGTCTCCAAAGGCAAGGTGTGGATTCTGACCAAATGATAGAACTGGAAGCATGTGTGGAAACAGTAGATGTAACCACAGCAGCCAAAAAAAAAAAAAAAAAAAAAATAATTCCAAAGTGGTTTTTCCTAAAACTGTCCTTTGGGGGTATTGGGGGGGGGGGGCAAAATACTGGTATTAAAACATGTTTTTCCTCCAAATTGGGCAAGTATTTGTGCAATTGTCCAATTGGCTATCCCTTTTACCTTGGCATTTGAAAAAGATAAGGTAATAAAAGAACACCATAGAATAAAAAGAGATGTATTAGGAATGTCCTTCGATGATAAAGTCTATTTGGATGCTATTGGGATTCCCAGAGGAGTTCCTGATGAATATAAGACCAGAAATCAGATAGCTTGATTATCAGATAGTTTGAATCACTGCTCTGATGGGTGACTGCAAACAAGAATGTAGATTGGATCAATTATATCTATTATAATCAACATTCATTAGTTACACCAGAGATGCTATCAAAGGCATAGCTGTACAGCTAGATGCCACCAGTAGAATGACTTGGAAAAAATAGGATGGTACTGGATATATTGGCAGAGAAAGGAGGAGTGTGTGTTATGTGAGGAGGTAGGTACTGTACCTTTATTCCAAATAACACAGCACCTGATGGAACAATCACTAGGGCTTTACAAGGTCTCACTACATTAGCAGAGGAATTGGCTGATAACTCTGGAATAGATATCTCCCTTACCTGGTGGCTTGATTCCTGGTTTGGAAAATGGAAGGGGGTTGTTCTATCATTAATGACTTCAGTAATAGCAGTTTTTGGAATTCTGATAGCTTTAGGTAGCTATTTAGGTAGGATTGACTCAGACTTACAGTAACAGCCATAACTAAGAGAATGTCCCTAGGAAAACATCCTCCCTTTAGGGAAACAGATTTAATATGTATGAGAGAAAAAAATGACCAAAGTAGTGAAAAGTGATCACAACAATTTGAACAAAGTTATGGCACTTATTAGGGTTTAGAAGGCAATAAAAAGGAAAAAAAGAAGGAATGTGAAATATGAAGTATTGCCTCAAAAATAAAGTTTAATTATAAAGAGAGTTAAGGAACTTCTTGAAAAATTAGTATTGATATTACAGTTAACAATATGGTTTAGAAAAGTCCAGAAAAGATAAGGGAGGGGGTGCTTTCTGAGCAGTAGCTAAGGAGACTCTGCCCTGTAACTAGGGGATGTTTGCTAATAAGCACTCAGGATAGGTTGTAAGCTTGTTAGTATCCAGCCAATGGGAAACCAAAACAGTGTTGAGGGTGGGACAGAGGGGTATAAAAACCTGTTGTTGCATGCTTTGATTTGGATTCAATTTGTGTGCACCCGTATTTGCAAATACTTAATAAACTTTTAATTAATAAACTAATAAATTAACAAATTAACAAACTAATTTTTGGTACCAGAATGCCTTTGTTGCTTTATTGCTTACCTATTTCTTAACACAGAAATAGTTACCCCCACCCCCACTGTCACATGACTCTCTTTATGGCGAATATTTCTATTTTGCTAGTAATAAGCATTTTGGGCCGGTTTCTGGAAAAAAAAATGTCCATAACAATGCATTGATGTACTTAACAACCACAGTGTTTGTTTAATGATAACTGCATTTGCTTTAAATATGAGGTGTTCACTTAAGACCTATCACCAGAAAAAAAGATATAAAATCAGGGTGGTCATGTGGATGCCTTGATTTACAACCATCATAATTTAGGATGGAAAATCTGAGCTCCATTACAGTCATAATTTGAGGACTGTGTTTATTGGATAGCAGCAGCATGATAGGAAGATGTTAGATAATCCCTTCAGTGGCAAATGCAAGTGGATTATTTCATACTGCACGGGACAAGGCAATGATAAACCACTCCTGTATTTCATTCAAAAATTCAGAGTTGAACGAAGGTGTTAGATAGGTGGATTGAAGAGACTGGAGACAGGCTTCAGACAACAGCTCTTTATTTAGCAACTATTTACAATCCAGCAGCCAGTCCCTCTAACAGCCAGCCTTTATATAGAGGGCTGTCTGGGAGCTCAGCCAATCACATTTAAAAATTCTTCCCGCCCAAACAGTGGACCAGAGGGAAAACTTCCTTGTCAATATCTAATACCCCTCCCTTCTAGATGGAGCAATCCATTTTACATATGTAGTCGCACATAATAATTTGAGGATTGTATATTTTGGATAGGAACAGCATGATAGGAAGATGTTAGATAATCCCTTCAGTGGCAAATGCAAGGGGATTATTTCATACTGCATGGGACAAGGCAATGATAAACCACTCCCGTATTTCACTCAAAAATACAGAGGTACACAAAAGGGTGAGAAACACACTCTCATTATTTCAACCTAAATGTTGAATGTATATGAGGGAGGTGGGTTTGAGGAAAAATGTTTGTGGCTTTAAATTTGGAGGACGAAACAACAAATATAGATCTTGATCATGCTCTAGTGACATGGGCACTATGCTATATAAATTTGTCACTTATTAACATTTTTTGCTTCAAAATACATGATTTAATTCATTTGTATAATAGCAGCATGGCATGAGGCAATAAAGCAATTTAAGTTCCACAGATAGGCTTATATCCCCTCTAAAAGTCACCAAAATATAAATCAGATTGTTATGTATTTACTTTTGGAGGGAAAATTAAGCGAGAAAACCCTCAATGTTGATTGGACAGCACCCTGGCCAAGAAACTATATAAAGGGAGCTGTCAACTGGGTTCATTGCTGGATTTGTCACTGTGAAGTAAAGTGCTGTTGTTCACACAGACCTGTCTCCTGTCTCCTGTCTCCTCACTCGCCCAACCTAACACAGATTATACTTAGGTATTGAATTATGTTCTATATAGTACCCAGATATACACACTGTGAGATTTTGGGCTGGTCACTCCCTGTCTACTCTAGGAAGAAGGCATGGGGTAATAGAAAGATTATTACTGGGAGAGATGGGGGGGGGGAAAGAGTCTATACTTCCAGGAAGTTCACCTAAGGCATGAAGATCATCTCAGCTGCTCAGTGAAAGCAAGTGGGAACCTACAAGTATTTGTTACACAAGTGTCTTCTCAGGCTCAGGTTATGGTCACTCACACACACTCCCAGCCCTGGAAAATTGCCACACTCAAACCACTTTCAACTGAACACTGAGGCACAAACAAGTCCCAGTGAATTTAAAAAACACCAGACTTTTACTGATTATGAAGTAGATCTATTTGGTCTTACACACACTCATCCACACTTAGGCAACATCCACAACTAGGCTGCCAGGCATTAGCCAAAGGGATGGAAGCCGGCATATCTGGGATCCAAAAATGATTCCAAAGGCTGGGCAGGCTTCAGGACCCCTTTTTATCCCCCAGAGTGTTGGTGGGAAGGGGCTTCCCGTGCAGGCCCAACTCCTTTGTTGGTGAGGTTTGGGGAGGGGATTCCCATGGGCTCAGGGCCAACTATTGTCCTTTTCTTTCCTTTTCCAGGCTTTTCTCCACACTGCTTACATGCCTTCACCACTTTTAGTTCAGTGGCTTCGGCCTAGTCTCACATGTTCCTCACTTAACCAATAGTTGCTTTGCTTTTAGAGTTATGATGCTCCTCCCAAAGTACTTATGACCCAGTTGCATTGTTCCCCCCACTGTCATATGACTCTCTTTATGGCCAATTGCAGTGTTTTTTGCTAGTAACCAGCCTTTTTGGCCAGTTTGTGGAAAAAATGGCCATAAGAATGGGAAGACTTGCTTTACAACCACAGTGTTTACATAATGATTGCAGCATTTGCTTTATAACTTCCTATTGCTGGAACAAGGGTGAATATTGCTTGGGTACTGATGTTAAAATAAGAACTTTGGCAGGCTTGTCCTGTCTTCCTGAAGCCACCACTGTTATTCCAGAAATTGTGCTAGTAACTACTGATCTTATTACAGGTCTCAAACAAGGTATTATGTAAGCATCAAAGTGGTCAAAAGGATATAAGAATTGGCTGCTACAGAGTGTAAAGCCTGAATCCTGTAATTTTCCTCCCTTAAATCCTGGACTCCCCTCCCAAGTCCCATCCGGTTTTGGGACTGGAAAAATTGGGGTAGACCATGGGGACTGAGTCTCTCTAAGAATGTCAAAATTCAAAAACGTTTGACTATGTTCTTTTATGCCAATGCGAGCCTCCCTTTTTATTGGGATACTGCTTTATTGAACAGGGGGCTGCATCATGTTTCAGCTTTGCCAAATGGGGGACAGCAAATTTAGTATTTCCATGCGTTCCCTGGTACCACATGGAAGGGTTAATGTGAGAGTCTGAAGGCAACTTAAGAGTCCTGTGGACTCAGGAAACACAAATATGCTTGATTTGGGGGGGGGGGTAGCTGTATTCCCTCAGGGGAACACTTAAGAGTAGTCCCCAATTTCCTATGGATCCCTTCCTAACAAGTTAATAGGACATTGAGGCAGAATGAGAAATGAATGGGTCACACTGGGCAGTTTCCACTCTTACAGTTTCCATTCTCCCTCTAACACCTACTATGGGGATACTTTGAGTGGTTAGGCATGGCACAGTAGGTGTTCTGTTCCAAGCGTTAGCTTGCTCTTCACAGACAGATAAACTCCATGTGAAATGGGAAATTCATGCAGATTACATTGGTCACATTGGTTTTTCTTCAGACTCCCAAAATGTCGGTTTGGAGGTTCTCTCTTAGGTTGTGACTGTAACTGTCATGATGTCATGAAACAGGAAGTAAGAATGTGAAGTTCCTGACAAGACCGGGGTAATATGTACCATACACATGGATTCAGAGTAAACAAGCTGGGTATAAAGAGAAGACTATTATGAACCCAGACCCCCAAAGACTGAGACAACTCTTGTGGAGCAGGGGACACCCTGAATCTGCTTCCCAGCCCACTCTAATGCTGCCTAATCACCTGTATTAAGACTGTATGTGAGTATTGTGTGAATGTGTAGCCTAGTTGGGCAAGAATACATACAACAACTTGAGTAGCCTTGTTGGGCATAGCTTATTGTAGTAAGATAACTTTGAAATTAGACAAGTGTACTTGTCTAATTTATTTATTTATTTATTTATTTTTGAATTTGTATACCGCCCTTCTCCCTGAGGACTCAGGGCGGTGAACAGCCAAATAAAAACATCAAATACAAATATTAAAATACAGTTAAAAAATATATATATAAATTTGGCCCCATTAATTAAAACAATAAACAAAACAATTAAAAACACTTAAAAAGAATTAGGCCAGCCCGGCTTGTTGGAAAAGGAAGGTTTTAAGGGCACGGCGGAAGGCACTGACGTCATGGATTCTCCTTATCTCAGGGGGCAACTGATTCCAGAGGGTGGGAGCCCCCACAGAGAAGGCCCTCCCCCTGGGGGTCACCAGCCTGCATTGTTTGGCTGATGGCACCCCGAGGAGGCCCTCTCTGTGGGAGCGCACGGGTCGATGGGAGGTCGTCGGTGGCAGCAGGCGGTCTCGGAGATAGCTAGGCCCTATGCCATGGAGCGCTTTAAAGGTGATAACCAACACCTTGAAGCGCACCCGGAAGACCACTGGGAGCCAGTGCAGCTCGCGCAGGAGCGGTGTTACATGGGAGCGCCATGCTGCTCCCGTCACTACCCGCGCTGCTGCGTTCTGGACCAGTTGGAGCCTCCGGGTGCTCTTCAAGGGGAGCCCCATGTAGAGACCGTTACAGTAATCAAGGCGAGAGGTCACGAGGGCATGAGTGACTGTGCACAGGGAATCCCGATCAAGAAAGGGCCGCAACTGGCGGATCAGGCGAACCTGATAAAAGGTCCCCCTGGTTACAGCCATCAGATGTTCCTCCAAGGACAGCTGCGTATCCAGGAGGACTCCCAGATTGCGAGCCCTCTCTGTGGGGGCCAAAGACTCGCCCCCCAATAGTCAGTGATGGAGTCAACTGACTATATCGGGATGCCGGGAACCACAGCCACTCAGTCTTGGAAGGGTTGAGCTTGAGCCTGTTTCTCCCCATCCAGATCCGTACAGCCTCCAGGCACTGGGACATCACTTCAAGGGCATCATTGGGGTGGCCTGGGGTGGAGATGTACAGCTGAGTATCATCAGCATACTGATGGTATCTCACCCCAAAGCCACGGATGATCTCGCCCAGCGGCTTCACATAAATGTTGAACAGGAGGGGCGAGAGGACCGACCCCTGAGGCACTCCACATATAAGAGGCCTCGAGGTCGACCTCTGCCCCCCTGCCAACACGAACTGCGACCGGTCGGAGAGAAAGGAGGAGAACCACCGTAACACGGTGCCCCCCATCCCCAACTCTTCCAACTGGTGCAGCATGATACCATGGTCGATGGTATCAAAAGCCGCTGAGAGGTCTAACAGGACCAGAACAGAGGAGCAACCCCTGTCCCAAGCCCTCCAGAGATCATCAACCAACGCGACCAATTTCAAGTATAAGTATACTTGTACAAGTATACTTATACAAGTGTACAAGTATAAGGAAACTAATTAAATTTAGTTGCACACTTACTTTACTTTTTGTCCGAATAACACAAGAATAAAAGAACTATTGGAAAACTCTATTTTGAATGACTCAAGGTTCAAGTGAGGACAGGTAGACACATGCTTAAAGAAGGTTTACTGGAATGTCCTCACATCAGGAGAGCCATAATTATTATTTTTATTTCATCCAATCATGTCCAATTTTCAGAGATTGCCTGGACAATCCCTGCAGTTTTCTTGGCAAGGATTTTCAGAAACAGTTTGCCATTGCCTCTGTTTTTGGATTGAGAGAAGATCACCCAGCTAGCTTCATGCCCAAAGCAGAACTGGAAACTATAATTTGTGGTTTCCTTATGGATGTCTTAACCAATCTTAACCAGCCCGCCCAGAGCCTCCACGCTTGCCCTGCACTTACTTGGCATCCATAATGGGCTAGGTGGAGACTCCTGGGAGGGCTAGGGCGGGGCGGGTGGGGTGGGGTCAGCCAGTCCTTGGAATAACTGCTTTGGTGAACTAGATTAAAATTAACATCTGGTTCACCCGAACCGGTCTGAAAGGGCTGAATTCCACCCCTGCATGTAACCATTGTCCAAAAACACAACTGTGTTTTATTGATTTCATATAATATTCTAATTTTCTGAGATTGTGAATTTGGGGTTTTCATGAGCTATAAGCCATAATCATCAAAATTATGACAAATCAAGGCTTGATCTATCTCGCTTTGCATGTAATGAGTCTATCTTATATTAGTTTCACCTTTTAAGTTGCATTACTGAAATAAATGAACATTTGCACAATATTCTAATTTTTCGAGTTCCACCTGTATAACTAAATTGCTGAGAAGTTAAAAGATTACAGTCTTTGGCTCCCTCTTGTGGTGAAATAACACCTCCAAATATAAGCTGCATGGAAATATCCTCCTTTATTTCAAGTATGAAAGAAAGAGGCTTCAAGGAAATCTTTAGAGGTAGAAATTGATAAGCATAAGTCATAAAACATCTTTTTCAAAATTCCTTTTATATTTATGTTTTATAAAAATGTTCAAAAAGTTCACAAAATAGAGTTTTATGTGCTGTTTATTTCAATAGTAACGACAGAAATTACTAATATCTCCTAGTTCTCATATCATCTAAAATCTATTATCTATCCTAGCTCTAATAGTAATATCTAATATCTCCTAGTTCTAATAATATCTGATATCTACTATCTACTATCTCCTAGTTCTAATATTAATATTTACTATCTAACATCGCTTAGTTCTAATACTAATATCTACTGTCTAATATTGCTTAGTTCTAATACTAACTCATATCTACTATCTAATATATCCTACTTCTAAAACTAATATCTATTATCTAATACAGGGGTCCCCAAACTTGGCAGCTTTAAGACTTGTGGACTTCCACTCCCAGAATTCTCAAGCTATCATTTGGTATTTAAGATGCAGTTTGGACCAAACAGTTTTCCAAAAAGAAGGCTTTTTTTTCCAGGCGGCATCTTGGGACTTCTTTCTTCACCAGGAGTTGAAGAGGTATCTTTTTGTCTTTCCTTTGGAAATCTGGCAAATGAGGGCTCATAATTGGTGACAGAATCTCCTATAAAGTTGGCTATTTCACACTGTTGCCTATTCCTTAGTCTTCTGCTGCATATTATTTTGGGGTTGACTAAGGGACCTGTTGAAGGATAAGCCTGATGTAAATTTTCTTACATATTTCTCACATTTAGTCTCACATATTCCTCATTTAACCAACAGTTACACTGCATTCAGAGTTATGATACTACTCCCAAAGTATTTATAACCCAGTTCCAGAGTTCTGATGCTGTTCCGTACCACCCCCCGGTCACATGACTCTCTTTATGGCGAATTGCTGTGTTTTGTTGCTTATAACTGGCCCTTTCAGCCAGTTTCTGGCAAAAATGGCCATAAAAAACCACAAAAAAGATTTTAAAATCTTGTTGGTAATGTGGGTGCCTTGATTTACTACCATCATAATTTAGGATGAAAATTCTGAGCTCCATTACAATAATAATTTGAGGATTGTATATTTTGGATAGGAACAGCATGATAGGGAAGATGTTAGATAATCCCTTCAGTGGCAAATGCAAGTGGATTATTTCATACTGCACGGGACAAGGCAATGATAAACCACTCCTGTATTTCATTCAAAAATTCAGAGTTGAACGAAGGTGTTAGATAGGTGGATTGAAGAGACTGGAGACAGGCTTCAGACAACAGCTCTTTATTTAGCAACTATTTACAATCCAGCAGCCAGTCCCTCTAACAGCCAGCCTTTATATAGAGGGCTGTCTGGGAGCTCAGCCAATCACATTTAAAAATTCTTCCCGCCCAAACAGTGGACCAGAGGGAAAACTTCCTTGTCAATATCTAATACCCTCCCTTCTAGATGGAGCAATCCATTTTACATATGTAGTCGCACAGGTAGGCGGGGTGCTTACAAGCTCTACTTGACCTGCGCAGTTCTGTTGGTGTGACAGTGGCAGGCTGAGAGGTTGTGCCTGCTGCTGCCTCTTGCTCTGCCCCTGGAAAGTCCTGGAAACTTTTGGGCAGGGCCTTGGAGTCTACGGGAACAGGTTTGCTGGAGAACCGTAGATGGATTCCCGGTTCTTCAGGTGCATTCTCCAGTTCCATCGGGCTTGTGTCTGCTAGGAATGAATTAGAATTAAACTCTTTTTGTTCAGTTTCTAAATTTTCTTTGTTAGAGGTGAGGCGGCTGCATAAGTGGTCTATGTGCTGCCTCCATTGACGCCCGTCGTTCAATCTAACAATATACGACTTGGGCCCCGTGATTTTCTCTATTTTGCCAGGTAGCCATAGGGGTCCTTTGGCAAAGTTTTGTGTGTGAACCAGGTCTCCGATGTTAAAAGACCTGGTGCGGTTCTGCATGTCGATTGTTGTTTCGGGTGCATAATTTGTGTGCAGGCGGTCTAAAACTGATCGAAGCTGGTGGCCCAGTTCAGCCAGGCTTCTACCTGTGACCACACTGGGGGTTATGTGTTGGTACAGGAGGAATTTGTCTACTCTCTCTTGCCAATTTCCTGGTGCCAACCTGCCTAGTGCCTCTTTGGCAGATCTTACGGATCTTTCAGGCAACCCATTACTGGCCGGATGAAAGGTGCTATGAGGGCATGGCGTATTCCTAATTCTGCCAGATACCCTTCAAACTGTGTGGCCGTAAATTGCGGGCCATTGTCCGATACCAGGACATCAGGCAACCCGTGAGTTGCGAATAATTTTTGGAGGACTTTTATTACTGCGTCCACTGTGGTGGTAGCCATTAAAATGATTTCGATCCATTTAGAATAGGCATCCACAATTATTTAAAAAGTTTGGCCATGAAATGGCCCAGCAAAGTCGATGTGGATCCTCGACCAGGGGGCTCTTGGTTGGTCCCACTCTTGAATGGGTACCTTAGGGGGAACTGGCTGTGATTCTTGGCAGGGTTGGCATGTGGCCACCCACTCTTATATCTCTTGGTCCATTTTGGGCCACCATACAAAACTCCGAGCCAGGGCTTTCATCCGGACAATCCCTGGATGACCCTCATGCAGTGCATTAAGTACAGAATACCTCAAACTGGGCGGTATAATTACCCTGTCCCCCCACAGTAAACAACCCCCTTACGCTGAAATCTCATGTTGTTCTATTGCAAATGGCTTAAACTCTGTACCAAACGGCCATCCCCTCCAAACCCAGTTCAAAATTTTTTTTGAATGTAGCATTTTTAGCCGAGTGCTTTGCCACAGCGGCAGACGTCACGAGGCCAGAGTCCAGGCAGTCAATGAGAAGAACAGGGACGCCCGGGGTCGGGTCATCCAATAAGTCTGGCAGAGGACATCTGCTGAGGGCATCAGCATGTCCCACAGTCTTTCCGGGCCAGTGAATCAGTTTGTAGCAGTATGCCAACAGGAAAATGGCCCATCTCGTAAAACGAGGCGACAATGCTGCCAGTGTGGGGCAGTCTCCTGCCAAGAGTCCCAACAGAGGTTTGTGGTCTGTTACCAATTCAAAATCCCTCCCAAACAAATAATTATGAAACCGCTTGACTCTGGCCACCGCAGCCAGCGCTTCCCTGTCCAGCTGGCTATAGTTCCTCTCCGCACTTGACAGTGTCCTGGAGAAATAGGCGACCAGGGCTTCAGTCCCATTTGGGAAACAGTGGCTCAGCACAGCCCCTACACCAAAAGAAGAGGCGTCACACACTAGTACCAATGGTAGTGTGTCATTGTATTGAATTAGAAAACTGTCAGGATAGGAGGCGTTTTACAGTGGCAAAGGCAGTAGCCTCCTTATGTCCCCAAACCCAGATGCTTTTTTCGCCAATAGTTTGTGGAGTGGTTCAGCAACGGTAGCTTTGTTCTTCAAAAATATAGAAATTGAGCAATCCCAGGAAAGCCTGCAATTCTGTCTGATTTCGTGGCACTGGGACTTCCAGAATTGCTCTGACCTTGCTTTTGGTAGAATGAATGCCTTCTCCATTTATCCTGTATCCCAGGAACTCAACTTCAGGGACCCCAATTTGGCATTTGCTGCCCTTTACTCTGAGCCCTGTGGTTCTAAATTTTGACAGCACCTCCCTCAGACGGGACCGTAGTTGCTGTTCGTCACTAGCAGTAACTAGGACATCGTTGAAATAAGGTACTACCCCAGGAATTTTCTGCAATAGTCTTTCCATTACACTCTGGAAAAGACCTGGGGCAACGCTTACATCAAATTGTAAATGGTGACATTTGAATGCCCCTCCTATGCATCACAATGGTTTGGGCCTTGGCAGTAGCGCCATCTACAGGCAGCTGCTGATACGCCTACGCGAGATCCAATTTTGCGAAAATCCTTCCGGGACCCAAGAAATGCAACAAGTGCTGAACTATGGGCACTGGGTATGCGCTCTGCTGTACAGCCTTGTTCAATGTGCATTTATAATCAGTGCAGATGCACACAGAGCCATCACTCTTAACTGGGGTGACAATGTTGAACATAAATGTTGAACAGAAGGGGCGAGAGGACCGACCCTTGCGGCACTCCCCATGCGAGGTGCCTCGAGGTCGACCTCTGCCCCCCTGCCAACACAAACTGCGAGCAGTCAGAGAGGAAAGAGGAGAACCACCGCAGAACAGTGCCCCCTATTCCTAACCCCCTCAAACACTGCAGCATACCATGGTCGATGGTATCAAAAGCCACTGAGAGATCTAATAGGGCTAGGACAGAGGAGCAGCCCCTGTCCCGAGCCCTCCAGAGATCATCCACCAACGTGACCAATGTCGTTTCTGTGCTGTACCCTTGCCTGAAGCCCGACTGGTACGGGTCCAGATAGATAGCTTCATCCAGGTGCCGGGGAAGCTGTTGTGCCACCACGCTCTCAACAACCTTCGCCACAAAACGAAGGTTGGAGACCGGACAGTAGTCGGCTAATTCAGCCGGGTCCAGGGAGGGCTTCTTGAGGAGGGGCCTCACTACCGCCTCTTTCAAGGCGGCAGGAAAGGCACCCTCACTCAGAGACGCACTTATAATTCCCTGGAGCCAGCCTCGTGTAACCTCCCGGGAGGCCAGTACCAACCAGGAGGGACACAGGTCCAATAAACACGTGGCGGCACTAATCTTACCCAATACCCTGTCCACATTCTCGGGAGCCACAGGATCAAATTCCTCCCAGATAACATTCTCAAGACCTACCCTCGTCTCCTCCCCTGGACTCATCCAATCAGAGTCCAAGCCATCCCGAATCCAAGTGACTTTATCATGCAGGAATTGCACAAAATCGTCAGCACGGCCCTGCAGGGGATCTTCCCGCACTCCCCCCCGAAGAAGGAAGTGGGTCACCCTGAACAGGGCGGCTGGGCGGTTCTCTGCAGATGCGATAAGAGCGGAAAAATGGTTAGATTTTGCCGCTTTTATCGCCACTAGGTAGGTCTTGATATAAGACCTCACCTGTGTCCGGTCGGAATCAGATTGACTAACCCTCCAAACGCTCTCTAGGCATCTTTTCCGATGCTTCATCTCTCTCAGCTCCTCAGAGAACCAAGGAACCAATTGAGATTGGCATCGGGTCAGAGGCCACAACGGCACGACGCGGTCCAAAGCTCTGGCGGCCGCGTTCTCCCAGGCGGCCCCCAGCTCTTCAGTTGAGTCATGTGCCAGAGTCTCAGGAAACGGCCCAAGCTCCGTCAGGAACCTTTCGGGGTCCATCAGGCACCTGGGACGGAACCATCTGGTCGGTTCCGTCTCCCTGCGGCGGGGGAGAGCGGTAGGAAAGTCCAAGTGGAGGAGCGAATGATCTGTCCATGACAAGGGTTTGATATCTAGGTCCCCTCTACCAGGATCATTCAACCACTGACCAAAAACAAAAATCAAGTCCAGAGTGTGTCCCCCTATGTGAGTGGGGCCTTGAACTAACTGGGTCAGGTCCATGGCCGTCATGGAAGCCATGAACTCCCAAGCCACCTCAGACGCCTCATCTGCAGATGGAAGGTTGAAATCCCCCATGACAATAAGTCTGGGGGTATCAACCACCACCCCAGCAATGACGTTGAGTAGCTCGGGCAGGGTCGCTGCCACGTAGCAGGGAGCCAGATACGTAGTCAGCAAACCCATCTGCACCCCACGGCCCCACTTCACAAAATGGGACTCACATCCGGCTATCTGAGGAACAGCGGTCTCCCTCGGACAAAGATTTTCCCTAATAATCACCGCCACTCCTCCACCCCTCCCCTGGGCCCTTGGCTGATGAAATGCACGGAAACCTGGTGGGCACATTTCAACGAGGGGGACCCCCCCCTTTGGCCCAACCAGGTCTCCATAATACCTGCCAGGTCCGCACCCCCCTCCAAAATAAGATCACAAATGAGGGGGGCTTTATTAACAATCGACCTGGCATTACACAACATCAGCCGCGGACCCTGGGCCTGAGACTCTGCGCAACCCAGGACACGAGTCGCGCATTGGGGGCCGGAGTGCATAATTGCTCGTAAAGGGTCTCACAGAGGGATTTAGGACGTTTAGGCACGAACACTTGGCTGTGCATACTTCGCCCCCAGCCATCTGCCTCAGCCCATTTACAGCCAGCTTTTCTCCTCTGCTGGCCCTCTCCCAGCCATTCTCCACAATCAATGGGCCAATGGCCTTCACCAATCACTCTACGTCCCTGCCCATTTGCCCAAACATCATTTGACCTGGGCCTTTGGCTGCACGGGACAAATAGTCCCTAGCCATTTGGGTGTCAGGCAGAAGCAATGGTACTGGAGGGGCAGTGTGCTGTGCAAGATTTTTTAAAAAATAAGTACTGTGGCTGATCCACAAGTTTTGGGGCCTTGCAGATCTGTCACCAGGACCAGAGGGAGGGGGAGTAGCAGCTGCTGGGGCCACTGGGTGGCAGTCAAGTGTGAGTGTGTTCGGGGACAAAGATAGCTTGGCTTACAACTCAAGTTAGCTCCAATGAAAGAGGAAAGGAAGAGCAAGGCTGGTGCAGCTTCTGGCATTGTGCAGGAGGGGCTAGGAGGTTGCACAGATGAGTGGCAGGGCTTGCATGCTGAAGCAAGTCAGCTTAAAGCATTTCTTTATAGAGGGTCTCACAGAGCCCTGCTATGTAGTTCTAAGCAATGTATGTTGCATGTTA